TGAGGTTCCATCAGAATGCCGAATTATGAAAAGAAGCAGGAAATTAATCCCTTTTACGGAGGTGGACGGAGAACTGGAGTCCACACAATATATGAAGTCGAGTCATGGTAATTAATATAATGGAAAAGAAACCTAGAGTAGTGCCTTTTTCACCCAACTGTTTAGGATAGCGAAACGGTGTTTTTCGAAACAGCTTATTTCATTCCTCTTCGAGTGTTAAAATTATAAGACACAAGAGATACAGGTGCTTAACTTCTTCGACATGCTGGTTTTTAGAAATTGTGTAGAAGATTTCTAAAGCAAATGTTCGTTAATGTTCGCAATCTCGTTTTTTCACAATAGAGAAGACTTATTGCATTAATTTGCTGAGAGAGGTGGAGGTAGCACAACGGTGGATATTCCGTTGAACAACCGCAGAATCTTCTTCGAACTCAAGACGAATTTCAATTAAAGCATGCTATTAGTAGCCCCCAACTTCAAATGAAGACAACGCATATCAACTCGAATGCGCTATGCGCGACTGGCACTGGAGAGCTGGTCCTGAGCGACAGTTATTGATTGACGAGTGCGCTTTTCAGATCTCTTTAATAAAATTACAATCGAACAGTGCAAAAAAACAAGTCCGCGCGTCATGCGCTGTACAGTTGTCTGACTACATTACTAGTACAGATTGGTCGATATTCCACTAAATGAAAATCTCCCATAGGGAGGGCAGTCCAATCGAACGGTGCTCCTAATTCTGGAAGTACACTATTTACAGTACCATAAGCTTTGAACTGGCTAGTCGACCACAGGTGTGACCCTCAGCGTTATCTGTGGCAGTCGACTTGGTTGAGGATGTGCCTAATACAGAGTACACAACGTGAGCGGTGTGTCGAAGCCTGCTCACTATGTTTGTGAATGAAGAAGAAAACCGTTCATCGCACCAAACCATCCACCAACGGTAGCCCGCTGAAAGAACGGTTAAGTCAGAAAAGTAACTAAGGTTTTTTCAGGGATTATTGTAGAGTGTGGTACGGTTTGTTGAGCGAAAAGTATAGAAGCAGAACTCCCTTCACCTTAGTTCAGTGTCATAGCCAGTGGTGACAACACTGACTTTATTGGGCAGGGTTAAGTATACAACCTAACTGGCACAATGCTCACGAAAGCAAAGCTGTTTCCGACTCACTAGCTAAGTTTTTTAGATTTCATTTCTCTCATTTCAGAGAATTCTTTCCTGGCACAATGATGATGGTAGAGATGTCATAAAATCCCCTTGTCTAAAGAAATAAGACATGATCGACATGTCTTTCAGTTTCTTAGACGAGCAGAACATAGTATTGTGTAGAGTGTCTCTTGAATAGGTATTCATGTAATAGAAAAGCCTTCTGCCTATCGTTTTCGTCATGTATGACTTATCATTTTCCTTTTGAGTGATTATGGAAGTCCGTCTGCAGCTTGCGTATAAATTAATTTATCAAACGAAAGAGGGAATGACCGAATCTCGTACAGGAATTCAGAACAAAGGCAGTATCAAAGATTCTTTTTTATTCTACACATACTTTCCATCATTTTTGTCACTTTTTGCAAGTCCTAGCACTTTTTGAATTCCATCTGTCTTCTGAGATCCACCACTTGCAAAAGTTCCAAACTTTTTCCTTGTGGGTCCGCTGATGCTTGAGAAAAAAACGTCTTCTCTATGAATATCGTTGAATTCTGGTGGAGTCGATTCTTCGTGGACTCCTGAAATCGCCTGGTTAGAGCGTTTCCATTTGAATTGCATTCAGTGAACTGCTCTCAGACATTTCTGGTACGAATTTCGCCATCCCGAAGGGATGAGAGCCTTGGTGAGCCCATCTAAGACTTACTACCTTGTATTTCTCAAAAATGTAGTTGATTCTCTTACAAATCGTGAAGCTCGGCAATCACCATTTCCGAAAGTGTTCTTGCATTTTCTTGAAGTGTAAATTTTCATGGATAAGACGTACTGTTGACATAGTTCAACAGGACGGTTTTCATGCTCATCTCCATAAACCAATTCCTCGGTCCTATTCTTCATTTTTAGTGACCTTTCTTAGCCTACTTTTGAATATTTCGAGGACAGCACTGTACAATTTTTTGCTTCCGGTTACTTCCTTTAGCTGATTATACTAATGGTGACTAGGAGTTGCTCACAAAAGATTACTAGGGCAGCAGTTTAAAACTTGACGTCGAGTGCTGACTTGACGAAAGTGTGAGGATTGCTGTTAGACTTTTCAGATACGCAGCAAAAAATTGTCTGCATGGCGCACTGTGTTTCTGTTCTTCACTTCAAGACCCAGTTGTGGTACACTGTTAGCAAGACAAATTCTCTAAGAAATTCTAACGTAGACGTACTGAAAAGTTCCTATACCACTGTGACAAAACAGATGATGACCTATAAGAATGACAGCTATTTTTGTAGTTGCACGACTAGGTTTTTTCAAACGTGCAGTAATTTTTGCTATTCTGCAAATGGAAGGTCGAAGACAATTTGACGAATTGAATATTAACCTAGCAATGAAAGAAATGAATAATACAATTTCTTAGCATGACCCTTTTTTCGCATCAGGAAGCCACATAATTTTGATAACCATGGAATTTTTTTTCCTGAGAAAGAAACTCTGTGAAAAGAGGTGAAACAAGGATGTAAATGTCAAGGTTTTAGTCAACTTCTTTACAATCCTGAATTCCTAAACGATGTTTACAGGTATGTTTCCAAGCATAGGTCTAATCTTCATTCGAGGACAAGTATTTGAGAGAAGCGACAAGTGCGATTACGCAGATCGTGAAGAGGATTCAGGTGAGCGCCAAACCAAAAGCTTAGTTAGCTAGTAACTAACAATCGCAAAGTGTAACCACAATGACAGTGAGATATTTGCGAAACACCGCACAGTAGGCGTTTACGGTGGGCATCGAACACGCTATTCACCTTTCAAGAAGCTAACATGTTCACCACCACACCATGCAGATCATTCGTTTCTCCATTTTCTTAGCCGTGTTTTATACGTACTATCAGCAATCCAGTAGTTGATATTGACACTGGTATTTCAATAAAGAGCTTTATCACAACCAGAAAGCCAGAAGATATAAAGGTCTCATATAGATTAAGACGGTGAGCCAGGTGATAGAATGGTAAACCTTCGTTACAAAATCTGGAAAACCACTATATGCTCTTTCTTTATTGGAGATTAAGACAGTTGCTATCGAATTTATTGTTAGGAGCAAGTTCACTTGAATTTTACGCGAAATGTCTAGTCGATGGGATCTCTGGGATCACCACTTGTCTGGGGGGCATTCTTTGCAATCCAAGCAGGAGCTCTCTGTCCCGGCTTTGTCAGCACTACAGAGAGAACCGACTCAACTAGGATCCAATGACATTCGTAATGGAAGGAAAATCCATTAGCATTAGACGAACGCACACATAAGAAGTTGCAGGACCTTCGCGGATGATGGATACGAAGAAACGAAACGAGTGGAAGAAGAACTGGCATCCGTACAGTAGATGTGAAAGTCGAATTGTAAAAAAAATTTATCTTTAACATTAACATTACATTAACATAACAGAGGTCGAGAACAGTTTTGCATGGAGTAACCTTGGCTGTAAAACGCTGTTCGATGCAAACAGAATTTCATAGAAAAGTCATTATCAAAACATAACACTTATGAGATAATTCTGTTAAACAATGTTAGCCCACTTCTCTAAAAAAAAACCTACTTAAGGCTTAGGTAATAGATAACACTTCAAAAAATCAAATAAGTCAAGAAAAGTCATCAAGAAAGTCAAATAACGACTTTCGCGGTCTTGTTCAAGCATTGCTTTTGATTCAGTTCCTCTTTTTAGGTTAACTAATTTTCGCCTACAGAACAATGGAGGACATGTGCACGAAAAACTTTGCTGCCGAATGGAAAACCTGGACGGGTGCTAGGCTTCTTCATCAACTGCTCCCAGATAACTACATTATGAAACGGTGCATAATGAGAAGTTGACTACAAACATGACGACGTAAAAACAATCTCTTTTCAATCTGTTAATGGTGTGGAACAAGTGAGCAATAAGATTTGAAATGGAGAAAATATTTTAGTCAAAACATGGAAAATGTTTGTTTTTGTTTTTGTTTTTTTTGTTTTTTTGTTTTTTCAAAACATGTTTTTGTAAAGGCACCAAACTTTCAGTGGCAAGGTCTCACCCATTAATCCTCTTCATGTATTTGAGTTCAGTGACGAAGATTGTATTGTTGCTTCAATACTATTTGTTGGCTTTTGTTAGTTTCTTCGCTATACAATGTGGAGCATTTTAGGCTTTCATTCTTTAAGAAAGTCAGTTGAACTACGCAATTCTCTTATCTCCTAATCGCAAAAATAGCAAACCTAATGGTACGATGCTACTTTCGCATATTCTGCTTGGAGAAAGTTTGTGAAATAGATCTTAACGTGGTTTTTCATAGACGGATTGCGCTACGACGCTGAATATGCTGAACTGTATAAAGCAGAAAATCTGTGCATTCGGAAGAATGTACCGGATAGTGACATTCAAGGTGATCGTGTGCCCTTTGGTTGTCTTTTTGATTTTAAGCACTTATCGAGCAGTCACTTCAAGATTTCTGCGATGTAATGGAATAATATTGGGATGAAACGTACTTACTGCGCTTTTTAAACATTTCATTTCCTTTCTAGTGACATCGTAACATTCAGTTGCACTAATGACATCTCGTAATCGGCTATCTCTGAGTTCATCGAAACTAATTGAAGTTGTTTTCCTCAGGTAAATGAAGCGCTCTATACTGCACTTAACGTCTCAGAGAACTAGCACGTATATGCTTATACAACCTCTTTAAAGGCGATCTACAGCAACAACACTGGTGAATTCAATCTTTAGATGGTGAATTTTGTTGCACTATAAAGCTACTTTCTACTTTGCAGCTTTTACGAGGTACCCTAGTTATACGGAATTCCGCTGCGATGATGTTCTATGGAAAACAAGAAGAGATAACGTTCTTGAAATGAAAAAGAAAACGTGCGAAACTCAGACCGATCCTGTAGAGAAGTCGATACCACAAAACACTTTACCTAGGTTAGCACCAGAATTCGAGCTCTCGCAGGGAAGTGGTGCTGCAGTGCAACAACCAAAACAGGCACCATCCCGCCAGCTCCTGGAAGAGCACATTCGTAAAAATTTCAATCCAAGGTTCTTTTGTAAATAGCAGTTGTCAGGTTTAACACAGAAGCCACAGAGAAGTCAAATTTTATTTTTTATAATCCATTTGAGAGTTCTGTCACAATTTTTTTTTGGGATTGCCAGTTGATTTTTTGAAATTTCATGTCTATTTTATCACATCGTTCGTTTTCGTGTACGCACTTTCGCTTAGTTTTTTGCCATCGCTGCAAGAAAATGTTATTTTTGAAACGAATTAAAGCATGGTTCTTCAATGATAAAATGTTGCAGGACTGTTTCACCTATGCGAGTGACAGATGAACTATTTCCTAGATCGAATCTGATCTATGAAAAGGTCGCCCATGAAGAACGTTGCCCTGGAGCTGATGAACCTTTTACTAAAGAAACACCACCGATATCAGTCTCTCCAGTACATCCACTTTCCGCTTCCCTAACAAGTTTGTTACACACATTACATTTGATTGGTACCGATTTAATATGAATATTTTGCATATTTACGTAGACATTATATAAATATTTACATAATACAGTGAGCTATGAAAAATTGGAAGCACCTGTCTCTTATTTTCCGAGGATTGCGGCTTAATTTATTTTTCTACGATTATATCTCTATAATTTTGCATCCTACAGGATTTCGGAAAGAAAAGAAAGAGGAAAAAACGTCGACGTCTGTTTTGTTCCCAAACGATGGCTCATACTCCTCTATGGAATCCATCTGCTCACAGAAACACGACATGAACCTTCATCAAGAAGAGTCTATCGAGGGGATAATAATGGTGAGTCAGTTTTTCGCACTGAGCGCCCTTTTTGCGTAAACGACTTCAGAAATGCATGCGATCAGCCTATTAAATCACGCAGTAAGTTTATATCAATAGCGTGTTTATCGAACTAAGACTGATCATTTACAATGTTGACTTTTTTATTTACTGCCTTCCACTAGTTTTCATGGTAGGGTATTATTTGTGAAGCAACTACGATGATACGGGGATATTTGCAAAACTCCAGATCGGTGACTGCGGTAGGGGACGAACGCGCAATTACCATTTCAGGAGTCTAGCGCGTTCACCACCCACACCATTCGTGCACTTCGTATCGCCTGTCTCTCAGCCAGTTCTATCGATCTTTTGCCATCAGCAATCACCCGTCAACGGGATTGATCTGGGGAACTCAAATCGGCATTGAACTCATTTAAGCTGAGGCCATAGTTGAAAATCACAATTCGTTTCCCACCGTAGACACCTGCGGTCCGGAGTTTTGTAAATATTTCAGCATCATTGTGACCGATCATTTGCCTCGAATACATTTTATCTAAAAATATTTTTAAAAATCTAGGAAAAAATGTTTAGTTTGTTTCCACTTTGTTTCGTTTCCCGCGTTGTTCATTTACCAACGTCGATTTCACAATAGGCGAAACAAAGGACCCTCATGGTGTGGTGGTGAACGCGCTACTCCCCGGAAAGGATAATAGCGCGTTCGTTCCCCACCATAGACACCTGCGGTCCAAAGTTTTGCAAATATCTCAGCAACGTTGTGGTTGTATTTCGCTTAGTAATCTGCCGCGAAATTATAGTAGGCAGAAAATAAAAAGGTATAACGTTGTGATTTCACAATATTTAGAGATGTATTAATGGTACAACAATTAAGGACAATCAGGAAGCAGGCAAGAACACACAAAGGTATCTATTTAAAATTTTCTATTTAGCTCAATAAATACCTCGGAGATTTTTGTGTTGAAAAAGAAATACATAGTATCCCAAACTAAATATATTTTTAAGCTTCTTTGTTCATGTATCTCACGAATCTTACCATTTCCGTAATTCCCTTCCACCAACCATCCATGATGTTTCGGTTGGCCCGCGTTTACGGGTGTTACTTTAGGATTTTTTTCCTTTTTCAAGAATATCGTTGATGGATTCTCGAATTGACTCTGCCATCGAATGGAGTCTTCCTGGAATCGTAGGATAGCGATATTAGAACCTTCCAAGATAGAGCTTTTAGATTTAATGCTTTGAAGTTTCAAATAATTTTTGGTCTAGCCTTATAGCAAAAAGATTCTTGAGAATCTAACAACGTTAGTGAAAATAAAAGAATTCTGTGAAGTGATTCGTGAAAGGGAAACTAGTCACTTGTAGTAATCTCGTTTAAAAGGCATTATGGAACTTCTATTTGAAGTTGCTTCATTTGCACAACTTCCTTCTGCAATGGAAGTCGTCTTTTATTAATAGGCAAAATAAGTCTTCAGGACATGTCGCAGTCAGCCAAAGGTTCCGACTACCTTCGAGCAACAAAATGCGGGCACCACTAAGGACACTCTTCTGCGACGCTTGAAATTGCGCTACTTTAATTCACCCGAGTACATCATCGAACAACTGCGATCAGCTGAGTTTGACTGATGAGCTCTTCGTTTATCCTAGGTTTTCAAGGGTCTTCACATGCTCTTACTTGAAAAAATAAGGAACTATCTCATGGAGTTAAATTTGTTACCTGCAGAATGTAAATGTGTATATTGGGAGAGTTGTTTTCATGGCTATGATTAAAACCCTTCAATATCATAGCAACGAGCGAGCAAACAAACGTGCTATGTTTAGAAGGATTACTAAAGGCGACCTTTAAACATTTAATTACATGCAGCCGATCCGGAAAAGTGCGAAAATTAAAAGTAGAACCAGACAACTCTATGGAATTGGTGTGAATTTTAGGCTCCTTTATACACCATTTTAAACTACATGCAATGACTGAGGTCCAGATGGCCTGTTGGTACCGATTATATACTACGGCAGACATAAGCTTGTATGGCATAGTAATGTAATGACAAAGGCAACTGGTTTAAAACCATCAATTATCTCTCGACTAAAAGTTGACTTACCAACATGTTCCGTCTTCTACTTGCTTATAAAAACTCATAAGTTGGTATCCAGAGATGATCTTGTGCCCACCGATCCATCATTATTTAAGGTTAGACCTATCATTAGCTGCGTAGACGAGCCAACGGATACAATAACATGGTTTTTGACCCTAATATTTAACCAGTTGTTGAAACACATTCCAGCCCATCTTACGAATACCCAGATGTTTCTGGACCATCTACGTAGTGCATGGCCCAACACAGCGTACTTGATGGAGTCTTTCGACGTTACCGCCCTTTATACAAACGTGTCGAATGACTCTGCAATGCAAGCCATATTCGAACTCCTTACACAACACGAAGAAGAAATGAACATGTATGGCTTCAACATAGAGCCGTTGATAGCACTCTCAAAAGAATGCTTGAGCTGCTCAATCTTCAGGTGGTCCAGAAAGTACTACGCCCAAAGAAGATGGTTGGCAAAGGAACAGCGACCGGCACCAAGTCTTGCCTTAGCGTTTTTGCCTATGGTGGAAGCACCAGTAATCAACCTCGGGCCACTACTCCACTGTAGATAATGGATAACTACTTTGTCATTTGCTCAACACGAGAGGAAATAGACAAATGTTTCGAGTTATTAAATGCACAGTCAGAGTATATCAAGTTCACCCGAGAGAAGCCGAAAGAAAAATGGCCTCCATTCCTGAACGTCCAAATTCACCTGTCAGAAAATGACTACATTACAAGGAGGTACCGAAAGCCAAGTAGTAAAAACATCTTGGTTCATTACCTCTCTTCTCACTCCTCTCACACGAGAAGGACGCTTGTAAAGAACAAGTTTCGAACAGCAACCAAAGTGTTCACGGGAAGAGAGCAAAGAGAGGCATCCCGGAACTTGGCGCGGCAAATAGCCATTTCTAATGGTTGCGAAGCTGTGGCTCGGCTGAGGTGTAGGGAAAATCCTATGCCCCCAAACGACAACTCTAGCGACGAAAAGGTCCCGTTTATCCTACCCTTCATCTCAAATGATGTAGGTGCAGCTATAAAACGCTGCTTAAGAAGGGCGGATCTAAAGAATTCGGTAAACGTAGCTAAGATGCCACCGAATGCCCTTAGGCGCCAGCTAGTTCGTAACCCATAAGTTCGGGTATAGTTTATCTGATCTCTTGTAAAGCATGCAAAGACGAATACATTAGCGAAGCGGGTAGACCACTCTGTATCCGTATGAAAGAACACCTAGTTGGTAAACTTAGAGTTAAACCAAGTACCCCACTAGGCACGCATAGGAACCAGAGATATAACGGGGAGGATTTTGAAGTAGAAGTACGATCCTCGCACAAGAATCAAGAACACAAACGCGCAAAATTCTCGAGGCGTTCTGGATTAATTCCAAGAATCCGAAAAGGAACGACAGGGAGGAATGCCTCATAATCACTTGTGATATCAGGCATTATTTAATACTGCTTTTTTGATGTCAGAGGCACATAACGCTTCCATGTAAATTCTGTGCGACTGTGCGATTGGTCCCCACGTAACGTATGCAAGGGGCGACTCACAGAATGCGGTGAGTGTGCAAAGAAGCTATTCTGTGCCCAATGTGATTGAAATGTTGGTTTAGCGTTTCCTCTGCTTGGTTATGGAAGTGTTTGGCTAGGTAAATTTGCAGTCAACTTGACCTTTCCAGACTCTGAGGAAGGTGAAACCCGCCGAAACGTCAGCTTATTCGTGAATAAAGAATAAAATAACACACCTCGCGTTTGCTCAACAAGAATGCAAAGAATTATTTGATCAATGCAGAGTTTAATAAAAAATCGATCGTAAAAATCACAATCAAAATGATTTATTTAAACGCTTAAAATAGAATTTGAAATTGAGGTGGTGAACCATAGAAACTCTATCCTGATTTTTGACGAGAAGCATGGTGGTTTTGCACTAGGAAACTGCGGTTCTCTTCTTAACAATACAATAAACTAACGAGTGTTTAAATGGTGGTTTACTGCCTATCACTTCTTTCACCGTAGGGTATTATTTGAAATACAACCACAACCACCAGACTCCAACCCGCAATTATCCTTACCGGTGGCTCACGTGTTCCCCACTACACCAACAATATCCTAGATTTGCCTTTCTCTCAGTCAGTTATTTTACCTCTTCGTTTACATAATACTCTGCCACAAAGAAATGATAGGCAGTTAGTAAAAGTTTAACATTGTGAATTTGACTGCAGCTTCACCTTTAACTGGGTGAAATGTCGATTTGTGCTCCTTAGATCATTCCCGTTAACGGGTGATTGCTGAAAGGACCATTATGTGGTGAATGTTTAGTTAGTTAGAGTTAGAGAATCAAGCGATAAACCAGAAAACATAAAAGGTTGCAGTGCTTTTCTTAATCTTCACGTTTTACTCTGCAGCAAATACCAATGATACGATCCAATTCATTGCTGTTGTGAAAGACTACAATGAACGAGAAAAACAATAACAACCTTAGACCACTACAGTATAATCAATAGAACGCTTACAATGTCGACTTTCTATTTACTGCCTATTATTATCTTCCACGCCAGCGTATGATGTGAAATACAGCCACAACTATGCCGAGGCATTCTCAAAACTTCGACACGAGGTCAGATTGAACGGCGACTACACTTTCTGGGTTATCAGATATTACGCGCGGCACCACTGAGGCTCCTGCATTGCCTTTTTCTTAGTCGGTTTTCCCTACCTTGAAATTTAATGATACGTAATAAATAAAGAATAATAATAACATTGTGATTTCAACAGCAGCCTCAGCTTGACTGAGTTCATTTCCGGTTTGGGCTCGTTAGATCAATCCCGTTAAGGGGTGACTACTGTTGGCATTGTCATGTACAGAAATGGCTGAGGAAAAGGCAAGCCAAGGGCTTCGCTGATGCCCTGCGTAACGCATGAGCCCACAGGAAGGGTAATCGCTGTCCGATCTGGCCTGAGGTCAAAAAACGCCTACGGTTTTCACATCAGGAATATTTTTAGCTGAGTTCTTTTTACTCAAAGCATTATGCAACATAATTTCGAACCTGTCAAAGAGATTTTTAGCCGATTATGCCTGTGACAACAGTGTCTCAAAAGAAAAAATACGGAGAAGTGGTTTATTCAACTAATGCTTTTTACTGCGGCCTTTTTTACTTTCTCAGAAGCCTTCGATTTGTCTTCGGCGGGGATCAATGAGCAGCTTTTTCACCCGTAAATGAGGAAACGAAGTTCTAATGGTGCTTTAAAGTGTCGTACATTTGCAGCCTATGTAGCAGAATTTATTACAATCTATTTCTTCGCAGTAAAGTTTGCTTGTATATGCATATATAGATATATGTGTGTATATACATAAATTTTCTTGGTTGCTTGGACGGTGTAGGAACTATTCTCTTTACTATTTCGTAGAGAATACTCTATCTCTATATTCGCCGATTCCTATTTTACTTTTATGTTGTTCTACTAAGTTAACAGTTTTCTAACAATCTCTGTTGGATGTTTCGTAACAGCTGGCTCATGTTCGTGCACGGCACCTGACTGGAAGGTTTTTAAAGCAATCGCATGAGCGCAGCTGCACAGCTGTATAAACACTCGCTGGAAAAGTTTCACTTACAGCAACATCTTCTTTAGAATGGTACCAGAGGTTTCTATCAATTTGTGGCTCATAATTGTTAATTGGCAATGTATTTTGGTCGTTCTCTAATCCTCACATGAGCTGTACGTTGTTACCTTTTTTGTATGTTATTGTCATGGTATTTATGTATATTAATTACTCAACTCCACGGTTCCGACTGCAGCACCTCAAGGTTTCGCATGGCAACTCGTATGAAAGCGAGTATTCCATAATGAATAAACTCGCACAGGCCACGAGTAATACGAGACTCAGAAAATTTGCTATTCATTTCCTCACCTTGTCTTTAGTCAGTCATTCGCCAGGTAGGAGTTGACTTCAATTATATAACGCGTACGAGTGTCAAATCGTGCGTTGTGAAAGATTTACACCAGCGAATACGCTCCATATCCTCTACATGTTCTCGGCCTTCTGGTGCAGGTTATTGAAAGAAATGAAAAGTCGACATTTTAGCACCACTACCGTTTCAAACATAATGCAAGTATACACACCTCGGCGAACACAAGCTTTATAAACGTCCTCATCTTCTCCTTCTACGAGTTAGCAAAACATAGAAGAGGTGAGTAATGAGTGACTAGGACGACAAAGTCGCTTGTGCAGCTCTTTGTAAGACGAATTTTAATTTGCACTAAATGGTAAGCCAAGGAAAAGCTTGTGTTTCAACTACGGCCAAAGAAATGTCTTCCTCCATTTAGCGAATTATAGATAAATTCCATTACTACATAGCGCACCATGTCTCAAAATAAAACGTCCGCTACTGAGACATGTAAAATTCCTCTGTGTAGCGACCTTTTATGCAAAAGTTGAATAATTTGAGACTTTTTAAATGCGGTATACTGGCAAAACGTTAGCTCGGCTCTAAACGGCGTGAAGAATTCGTCGACACATGTTCTTCTAGTATTGCATTTTCTGCTGAAGTTCCTATTCACAAGCTCGGTCTAATCTGTTATATTAACAGCCTCGTCTGTCAGACACTGCCTTGTCGACAAACTCGAGAATTACAAATAAACATTCAAACCTCGCTTACGTCATAATATGGGCTACAATAGCAGGACACATCAGAACAGCACTGCAGTTTCAGTATTCGCCTATTTTTCGCTTTCTAATAATTCCCATTATAATTCACAGGTCGACGAATTTGTTAATCCCATTTATATTTGTCGCTTCCCACAGCACAGCCTACAGTAGCTTTGTAAATTTAATCATTCCATAAACTAAATAAGGAGAAACCACGGAAACACCAGCCATTGTTGAAATCTTTTCATTGAGAACCTTGTCCCCGCTCAAGAAGAAAACCCTAACTATAGATTATTCCGTTATTTCATCGAGTTTGTCAATTATCGGACCTACTAGTTTATCTTTACTTTCAATGCATATTTGTCCGAGAACGTGTGCCTCCAAATAACATATCTACTTGATGGCTAAGATTGCAAGTTGAAATAAAGATTATAGGAATCTAGAGTTCTTCATAACAAATGTACTTCTTTATGACATTTTGGCTTTTCCTGTGCTTAAACGGTTCTAAATAAACTTGAGATAGAAGCACCACTTTAGAGAAGTTATTATATTCTTTCATAGCGATAGGGAAAGACCTCTCATAGCAGTTTTTTACGTTTTCAACTGCACAATTTCTCCATTCATCGAAAATTGGCTATAATTTCAGAAGATTAAGCATCGCCTAATATGTTAGGCATATAAGGTTCAATTTTTACGAATAATTCACCGTTTTTTCCGTCCACAATTCTTGTGGCACGTTCTTAGGTAGCGAATAGGTGCTTCATGGTCGGCCATAAGTGTCCATATGCTTTCCTTAGATTCAGGTAGAACCAAGGCTGGAAGTATCTGCTTTAAAAAGCATAGATTTGACACCATGCTCCCCTTTTACGGAGAAATATCCATGCATGTGTCCGCGATTTTGTACTCGTTAATGCGTATAGTCTCCTATGAGCCAATTCGCCCAAAAACCTGCAGTACGGTCACTTGGAAGTGAATGGGAAGCTGTTAGGTACCGACTGTGAGAAATAAGTCCTCTGTTTGGCGTAGGAAGAGCTGGCATGCGAGCCATGAGTATATCTAGCCACGTGTTTAGAGCTAAAAAGCTTTACGTGAGTATCAAATGTCTAAGGGTCATACTAGGCATCCTAAACACCAAAGGACTAGGAGGCCGAGCTCTGCCTACAATGCACACTTACTTGTATATGAGTCCTTCTTCATTATTCAGGTAAGAAGAATAATGCACGACGTCGTCGGACTGGCTGAGAGGCGAAGACATCACCCATTGAACGCAGTCTGTGATGCCCCAGAGAAGAACTCTTCCTTGGAACATGCCATAATAGAGGAGTAGGCGTCGCCGGCATTCTCGTCAACATGAGCTTGCCCATTAACATTGATTCATTCGAACAACTAAAGACTCAAACTTGAGGTCAAGGATTAAAAAGATGTTGATGAATACCGGCTTTGACAACGTGGTCTGCGCACTAATATCCAAAACTACGACTAAGTCGAAGTCAAATCCTTTTATACGAACTTAAAGGATTTCTACGGAGAAGAGAACAAATTCATCAACGTCATCATTGGAGATTTCGACTTTAAGACTGGACTTAGAAGAACGTCACATTAAAAACTAACCAGCGCGATGAGCAGCTGTGTCTGAGTTTATCGTGACGACAACAACCATTCATGTTAACTCGCTATTCCAGAAGCTCCACTTTCAACGGTGGACGTGGGAGCCTCACAATGGAGAGTGCCATAAATAAATGAGCCACATTATGGTAAATCAAAGATTTTACCTAAGCGATGTCGCCGTTCTCCCAAAATTATGCGTGGAATCGGACCTCCGTCGTGCAAGATTTCATCACTCGTGGAAAGGATAGAATGCCGCTAAGTTCAAAAAGAAAAATCCCGAAGCCATCATAAATGGTATTTTATTCAGATCGCTGGTTCGCTCCTGGAAATGTACCATTATTGATAATATCGACGAAGAATACGACAGGCTTTTCAACATATTCACGCTACCGCTATGAAAGCTGAGTTCGAACATCACCAAGAGACGCCTGTCTCTAAAAACACTCGAGCTCTTGAGCCAATGTAGAGAAAAACGCCATAAAACAACAACTTAAAGGGTGGAGAACAACACTAATGGCCAAAGCTGCACTAGCTTGGAAGAGCATTCGCCAAACACACCGAAACTTGACCATTTAAGAGACCAAGATGATGAGTGAATTCTGCTGTCGAGACGGAACAGTGACAGCTTCCAAAAAGGCAATGGAGAAAATTATTCACGAACACTACTCAGATCTCTTAAATAGCCACGTCCACCTTCCGTCATGTGAAATAAAGGAGAATGGTTATGTCGTGTCACCGGTTCTCCCTCCCGAAATCCGAAATGCTATTTCGTCGTTGGAGAATCGAAAAACATCTGGACCAGATAGGATAAGACGTAAACACCTAAAAAGCTTTCCGCCACTCTTCATGAACATAGTAGCTCGGCTCTTCACATGTTACTTCCTTGAATGCAAAGCTCCTACACAATAGAAGATTAAGCATACCTTGCTATTGCTCAAAAAGTATGACCTCCACGATGTCGGCAACTTTCGCTCAATCTGCTTGTTATCTGCCATCACTCTTCACTCGAATCATCCTAAAGAGGATTGGCAAAGTGCTGGACGAAGGAAGGGCATGTGAGCAAGCAGGACTTCGAAAAGGATTTACTGCGACAGACCACAACCACACAATAACAAGACTCATTGACAGAAAAATACCAGCATACTGTAACGATTCTCTCAAAGGCTCATTTTTGAAAACTGTTTTCAACAAGCTGTCTAACTACCTGAATAAGTACGAATCAAATGAAAAGAGGACTGGCAAGTAGGCTAGGCGAAGTAAAATTTTGTTCCCAAATCCGATTAATCGAGACTTGTCATGTAACACGATTGTTCATCCTCCTACATCAGCAGAAGTTGCTATCTTCAGTGCTGCCTTACGTCCTAACTATTCAAAGAATAAATGTGATAATATGGCCAGAATTCACGAAGTTAAATCAGACGACTCTACTTGTCAGCCACCAAAAAATTGTTCAATCTGTTAATGTGAATCTGATTCTGGAAGAGTTGTTTCGACGCTTACCTCAACAAGCACCTGCTTGTTGAGTTCTTGTCACTTTTCAACTTGGTTTGAGAATTCCGAGATTGCTGCCTCACGCAAGTAGCGTTCTTTCGCCACCTCTTTTAGCGTTATGCATAGATCTTCTCCAGTTAACTTTTTCAACTGGTAACTATCAACGACAATCGGTCCTTATGTTCAGAGCCCACGCCTCTATACGAAACTGTTGAAACGGACGCTTCAGCAAGCGCTACTTATTTTCCGCAATGCTACCTACGGTAATGCAATGTTTGTACAATAAGGCTTTTAATCAGACAAGTCCTCTTTCCTCTTTTATTTCAACAAATTTATTGTGACGACTAATAAGCCTACAAACCAATAACTATAACTAGATTTATAGGAGAACAATAACAACATTGCGAAGAATGTCAAAAATGTCAAAACTTTGTAGTAATTGGTAATCAGTCGAAGGTACGAATCTCTTTTGAAAAGTAAAGATTTGGAAATGGAAGTATCGAAATTGATTTGCTCGAAAAATAACGGACAACCAACTAGATTTTGGCGAATCTCGCTGACCAATTGTTCTTTTTTGTCGCTGTCTGTGAAAAGTTTCAAAGACGTTCTTGGTAAGAGTAAAACATGAATCATATCACAAATGCTACTTTGCGACTCAATGCTACTTAGCTTGCCGATTATCAAACTTCCATCCTATCGGGTGTCATGTCGGGAGCTGCAGCAACTAAATTGTCCTTCTTGGAAGCATTATGAGAACAAACCGATTTTCCTCGCACAGTAACCTTAATGTATAAGAGAACTATTTCATGTTTGGAGCATAACAAGAAGTTTCTACTTTCTGTCGAAAACAGGTATTATTTTTTTTTTGTAAAATAGCTACTTACCTCTAAGAATGCTGCCATTTCCACTAAACAATACATGGTGATAGTGGGCCACGTCATTATAAAATGAAATATATTGCGAAGAATTCCTGTTCTATCTCTAGTTCTTGCCGGAAACACCTATAAGTGTTCTATTCACAACATTTTCTCAGATTATTAAGCCACTTGAAGTTGCAATAGAACTTCAGTGTTGGGATATCTATTTAATGTTTCGAAACCGACCTTCCCTAAACCTCGGTGTGACTAATCAATATGTATTCTTTCTTGATAAGCTTGCACGAGGTTGATAAATATATTTATTTTCGGCTTTTCGACGTCTTCGTCTTCCTCAGAGCCGGCGATCCGAGTCGATGGTCCCTGCTTGTTGTTCGCCTCGACGTTGTGTCTTTGTCTTCGTGTCGAGCCAGATCTTCCTCAGTGAGCCATCTTCTCGAATGAGGCATCCTCACAACAAGCATGGATCATCGACTCGGATCACCGGCTCTATTTAATGTATTTTCAACGAAAAGCAGAAACATTCACATTCAAGAGAAGATAAAAGCCAATTTTCTGCTTATGAACTTACTGGCTCGCACAAGTAAATCACAAGGAATACACAGAAGAACCAGAAATACTGTAGTCCGAGAAATCCCAACATAATGTAAGTGAAATTGTTTTGTGACGATATCAGGAGGCCCTTGACACCGTGATTAACAGCGTTTAGAACAATTGGCGTCTAAAAATACTTCAGAACTCGTATCACGCCTTCTCGTTTAAAACAGGAGTGTCTTTTTATCTATTTGTATGTAAGGAACACCCTTTCTTGTAGTTGATCAGTGGGCGCAATTTGCATATTGTTCAAGTTCCTGAATTCCGAATTATGTCTGGGGCCCAATATCAAGCATTTTTAGCTGAGTTAGATTACTCACTAAGAGTGGAGCCACTATGCTATACACGGAGGCGATGCACAAGAGAAATCCGTAGTAGAAAATGAACTTGGCAGCAAATGACAGTGAAACAGTCACGGGGAGCCTGAAGAACTTTATGACGAAGTAGTGGAACACCTAAAAATAAGAATAGTAATAAGTTCTAGCTAGATTAGTTTATATAAGAAACATTTCAACATGCCGTCTCAATGATGGTAATAAAAAATGATAATAGCGGCTAAAAACCAAACCTCAGCTGCCCCTATGGTCCACCGCCGAATCTGTCGAGCCCATTCATACCATTCATCTATATAGTTCTTTCCTAAAATAGCTTTGTTTCTTGTTTTCTCTGTCTACGAGCCAATTATTTTTCAGAATCATAATCTACCACTTGTTGGTCCGCTAAGAGTTGCAACTGGTATAACCCGGATCACACACTTCTTCCTTACTGCTAATGACCATCTAATCAGGGCGATGATGTCGTCCATATAAAATAATTTTGGTTAGACTTCATTACATATATATATATATATGTGTATATATATGTATTTGCAGTGGCATACTTGTTAGAAAAACTCAACCACTAGAATGAAAAAATGAAAAAAAGAATGAAAGACGTTATTCGCCGATTTTCTCAGTGAGGTCAATCCTGACTGGCAAATGTGTCACCAACCGGAGTGATGACGTCCGAAAAATCGCATTCACCTACGCGCTTTTGAACTATCATTTTATCACCCACTCAACAGCAGAGTTATGTGTTTGTTTTCGCTATGTCTCGCTTTTTTTCTTTTTAACTCCTACTTATTCAATTGGTGGGTAGAAATACTTTTGTTGAATTCCTGAAGACCATAAGCGATCACTTTTGACAGGCTATTCATGAAGCGAACCTGATATCCTGGATGAGTATACTCGCCGTCCTCGAAAAGTTTTAGAGTAAGAGAAAATATACTCATGGTGTTGATGTTCCATGGTATTAAATAACCCATCATAAAAAAAGCTCTGTAAAGATGCATATCTCCGCTTTACATGAGGAAATATGGGTGTGAAGAAAAATCGGTCAGAACTAGATAAGTCGACACTATTGGTGGAATTTTATAGCTCTAGAATCCAATGAATCACAGTCTGAAAATACGTTAACTATAATTTGGAGGTACTGACCTCAAAAAGCCAGTTATCCTCACGAAAAATGGCGATCTATGGGGATTGATGCAGTAGAACAATGGTGACTGCCACACTGTATATTGACGTTGCTGAAACGTATTTCTCACCTTAAGAGAATTTCTGCAGAGTGTGAGTCATGTTTACCTCAGGTTTGAGCTTCCAGTAGTCTTCTTCAAGAGAATCGAAGTACCTTTCACCGAATATGGAATCACAATCGCCTGTTGTAACAAGCAACTCAACTTTATCACCGGCCGAATCAAGTGGATAGTCCTAAAGACGGTTCTACATCAATAATAGAACGACAAAAGGCGATTTGGCCAAGATATGCATACTTTATCGAGCCTAAGTTGCTTTACTGCTTGACGAGAGCCGTAGTTAAAATTCGAGCACTTCCCTGTAATAGGGGAATAAGTCTTATAAGAGTCGACCCAATGTTTTCCATATTAAGACATGGGAGACAAAATTTGACAGTTACCAGGAATGTCACCGGGAAGGCCTTTTGGATGGAAGGTGACAATGAAGCGTTCAAACTTCTCATCATATTTCTTGTGCAAAAGCCGGCTCTTCTAAACCGTCACGCTTAGAGAAACGTTAACATTTTCGCTTAGCATAAGGAAAGAGGGCAAGGAAAATTTCATTGCAGGGAAAGAAATAAAGCACGTGTTCGCGTGGGTCTGAATGTCTTCGAATGAAAAGTGCCTACCTCTTCTTTATCCGGTGTTCCCTCTTCCATGGCAACTAAGCAAGTGATCTTCAATTTGGCATTCGGTTGAGAACATATGCTAAACAGTCACTTACATGTTTTCCTTTAATTTCTTATCTGAATTCTAATGAAGCAGTGAATCCACCTATCAACGGTATCCATAACGAGCTGCAGAGGTTCTTTATAGATGCAAATGCCAACCAAGTGCTTGACCATGACATTTTCTAGATTATTGACCTTAACAAAAGTTGTCCGAAGATATTTTTAAAATTTAATATAGAAATGAAATAAATCGCGAAAGTAAACCTTGCTGAGGTCGATTTTATGATAACTATGCCTTCGCAGATACCATGTGTACCGTAGTGCATTGAAAACGGCGGTAAACCATAAAAGATGTAGAACTATACTCACGATTGTCACAATTTCCAAAGCAAAGTCCTAGAGGTGCAGCATTAGGCCAGAGACTTTTATGATTTATGCTACTGCATGGAAATGGAGTAAGACCTTATTCAAAATCAGGCCTGTTGGGGAATAAAGTGAACGAGCAAATAGATTCAATTTAGTTCCCATTATCGGCAAATAGATTGAGAAATTAACAAAACACATACATTAATTACAGGAATAGCTGGAATCCAAATGGAAGATGTGATGAAGAAGAATATTAGAAATGTAAACGCTAAATTCCATCTGATGTATTGATTTGCGGGTTTCATAACCCTTCCAGTGTACGACTCTAATCTATAATGCCAAGTTTCCGAGATTTCAACACTGTTGGGAATCGGTCAAAAAAAAATACGCGAGCAGATAGACTTCTGCTGTCCCACCTTCTAATGCTACCTTGAATATGTTTGTTTACGGAATTTTTAAACGTGTTAATTCTTCTTGCACAATAATGTGAAGAGAAGAACGACTTCGGCAGCGAGTTGGATTTGAGCTAGAAGTGAAAAATTGGCAATGCTACTGATAGTGGTATCTCCTCTAAGGTTACCGTATAGGCAACACCGCAACTTACCGCCTCGGTCTTCATAGTCAGTGTGTGGCCGTTGTTAACTTGACTGCTTTTCATCACATGCGACGAAGTACTTATGAAGTCTCTCATTCCGAAATATAACTCTCGCTGTATAATAAATTAAGTGTGTTGTTTTGAGAATCAGTTCTTACCTAAAATATTTTCTTGAAATGAAATTCGTTAAGTTAGAATGAGCTACATGTTATTAAGGCAATTAATATGGCGTCGAGGAACTAGAGGCGTCAGCAAATTATAAGACGGTCGTTGGTTTGAAATGATTCAAGCACGGAGTGACAAATCTTTGGCGATTGTGTGGGTTTAACAGATGAGTACAGTGAGGGCGGAGTTGCGTAGGATGCGAGAAACACCAATGTGCTATTACGCGACAAATTACTATCACTGTATCATAAGAAAATTCTCAACTTTAGGCAAGATTGACTATGATGTTTGCAGACAGGCGCTGCACAATTCTTTGCGAGCAGAGGTCAATAACAAGCAGTAAAGTGGGTATTTACTAAATAATAGTACTATTATTTGCAATTTCTTCATTTGTGAAGTATTGTAAGCAGCCCCACCTGGTGTATTCCTCTCGGTTGCAGTATGCTCACTGCATGCTTAGGTTCAACCACCGCCGTCCATTCATAAACTAATAGAGTCTTTAATCAATTTTGCAGGAAATATTTTCATTACTTTCCTATGAATAATGGAATGAAGAATGTTTGTCGATGACAATGCTTCGTTAACAAAGAATACCTAGTGGAATTGTGCTATCTGAAACAGTAGCACATATATAAATAATATTGAATGCTCACTGTTCACCAATGACAATTCTTTTTATCTCAAAACTGAAGGCTTCCTAAGAACAGGAATTCATTGAATACACACACGCCTCACATACACTCACATACACAAGTATACACACCCACTCACACACGCACACGCATACACACATTCACACACAGACGTACACACATATGCATCCGTACTTATGCATATACAGACATAGACATGCAAACACACGAATCTACACAAAAACACACGTACACACACGTCGTAGAGCGACTACTGGACAACGATAGCATAAATATATTGAAGAAGACGCAAAAAAAAGTAAATACGTGCATAAAAAATGCCGAAAAACTATCTATTGAAATATGTAGAACCCCATCCCTCGCCTTTCCTTGCAAGTCGCTGACAGTGTAATAGATATAAATTCTGCATTTCGACCGCTGGTAAGCAGCAACTAATAAAATCCTGGAGAAGAAAACTTGCTGCCAATAAACGCGTCGTGACGAATGTTGCAGAGTTGACAGCAAGCTGAGATAAAGAGAAAATACAAATTTCTCACGCACCGTCTCATCGGTTAAGCATTGAATAACGACGCACGGCTAACCAACGGGTTGATCCGAGCACACTTGGCGCCTCTTTGTTGAGTACTGACATGCCTAAAATAACGTATATTCAACCGTTCTGTACAAAAATTTATGCTATCGCAGAATGTTACCGCTACAGACACCTCAGTCGATTGTAGCATTTGAAATGACTACATATGGAAACTAACTGCGCACATCACAACTAACATTTTTTTTATGCAACAGAAATTTATAACTGCAATCATCGTACCAATGATGCACCAACATAGCTCGTGTTCACGAATACTCGTTCTGTGCTAAAACTTTTCCCATTTAACTAGTACTTCGAAGACTATTCAAGTTATTTTTTTGGGTAGCTTCCAAGTAAAGGCAGCATAACGCTCGCAGTTAGATACCCTAGGCGAAGGTCATTGTTTTTGGAAAAGGGAAGCTGTCGCCTCTTTCTACTAGGTCACTTCTTGAAGACGGTGAACCCTGACATCCCTTGCTGGGTTTGCAAATGAACATGACGAATTCAGTGCCAGTTAACCTAAATACTTTGATAATTTGGACCTTGTATTGTGTACCACAGTTCGACATTTAAAAGCGCGTTCTCGCCACCAAAACGAATCAGTTCTTGCCTAAAATATATTTTTACTTAAACTGAAATTCGTTGAGTTAGAATGAGCCACATATTATTATGGCAATTAATATGCCATCGAGGAACTAGAGGCGTCAGCAAATTATAAGACGGTCATTTACCGGTTACCGCTACAGACACCTCAGTCGAATGTAAGTCGAAATAGTAAGGAGGTTTTGGAAACCGGAATTGAAAGAACAGGAATGTCTTGGAAGGAACAGCGGTCCTATCCGGCATATATTAGACTAAAAACCTCGCCGCAATGAGATGAAAAACTAACCAGTAGAGGAGTTTTGGAAATCCGAATCGTAACGAATGTTTTAAAGGGCAAAAAGAGTGTTTACGAGCTATGTATTGCAGAAAATAGTTAGTTTGGCCTTTCGGAACATCCATATCTCAGCACATAACAATCATTGCTTCAAGCAACGACGTCAGAATCTATATATTTCTGCTAAAAGTGAAGATCGATTTATTTCTCCTTTAGAAAATGCCATGTGTTCCCAGACTAACAGTCCTGCTGTACCGTTTTTTTTTTTTCGTTGAGAGTCACATTTCCAGTAGCAAACAAGCTACCTCACTAATATTTGAGGCACTTGTGTTAGGTAAAAAAATCTTTTTAAAAATTTATTTATCATACGCCGTCGTAGGATATATGGTTCTTTTACTAGGTTTACAATAGTAATAATAATAATGCTCTCGGTGTTGATCAATCTCTGAGGGATGGGCGATGCATTCGACTTCACTAAGCATCGTTGTAGATGATTGAATGCATGTGGCCTTTACAATGACTCGCGGTGGCCTACTGATGTATGGAGCTAGTGCCGCTATCCTCCTAGACAAGACTGGTACCATTTTGCCGACCCCGGAGGGACGGAAACTTTGTGGGCCATGGGCGCGGGGATCGATTCCACGTGAGTGTTGCAGCGCGCCTACGACCACTGTGCCACACGCGCCCTCCGAAGTTTACGCTTTCAAAAATAAAACACAAACATCAGCATGTATGTAATTAGGGAAATAGAGCGAAATCTCCTCTGCAACTTTCCCAATACCTAAACCCCCTATGTTTAAGCCTCGTCGAAAAGCATCTACCCTCTTTTGCAAATTTTGAAAGAAAAAAAGTAAGTAGAAATATGTCACTAGTTGAGAAAAGCATTGAAGGACTGGTTCGAAAGCGAACCGTTGTGAAACAAATGTCAAAGTGAATTGCTACTTATTGACTAATCTATTATTTAATTATTTGCTGTAAAGAATTAGTTTTAGACGTTAAAATAACTCCTCGAGAAACATTCATTTCTTTTTCACGGCTTGAAGCGCTTGAATTTCTTTCTGAACCCACCTCTGTGTTGTTTTCCAGTGCCATAAAGAATAACTGTGAACTATTTGCTTAGTAATCTGGGAGTGCAACCTACGGTGGTGCAATTCCTGTTCAATGATTGTCTTCGTTTCTACTTGATGGCTTGCTTCAAACTAATCAGCTAAGAGTGAGTAGTTAGTAAAGAGTAATGAAAAGTTATCAGTTGTTTGCATAGTTTGTTTCAAATGAGAGCTCGCAATATGACTCATCTCCAATCTATCTAGAAGGGTGAACAACATACTCCCTTTTCAATGTATTTGGCAGAGCTACAAATAGCTGCACATGGATCACCTGCAGCCTTTACCTGACATCGTCAATCAATCCACTTATCACCACCAATGATGATCTCTTCCAAAAGTAGGTCGATTTTGTTATGCTTGAAAAAGGAAACGGAGGACGAAAATCGGTCCAACAATTTTGCTAGACTACTTATACTGTAGGACGCGTGTGGTGCAGTGGTTGGAGACGCCACTGCGACACACACGTGGAATCGATCCCCCTGCCCATGGCCCACCAAGTATTCCATCCATCCGGGGTCGGTAAATTGGCACCGGACTTGTCTGGGAGGATAGCAGCACTGGCTCGATACATCGGCAAGCTACCGCGAGTCATTGTAAAAGCCAGGTATGCATTCAATCGCTTCCAACGATACTTAATGAAGTTGAATACATGGCGTATCCTTCAAGAACTGATCAACACCGAGAGCTTATCCTTTATCCTTTTACTTATACTGCAAACATAGTGCCTCAATGATCGTCGCAAGCAATCTAAAACCCCACAAAACAGTTTATTATTAATATCAATTACAGCGGGCGCGGTAACGTAGTGGTTAGAGGCGCCTTGCAATAGAGATAGAGGACCGCTAGCTATTCCTCCCCATGCATCTGGCTAAGCAAACCTTGTATCCCTTCAGAGTTTGCCAGTTGATACCAACCTATTAGGAAGAATAGAATCAGTGATTTAATACATCTATAACTCATTGGAATTTATAGTAGAAACCAGATATGAATTCAGTCATCCCTAGCAATGCTTGCTGAAGCCAAATGCACGGGTTTCCGGATTGGTGAACTCCTAACGCTTTACCTCTTGTTCTCTAAACACCATTTTTGTAATCTCCTAAATTTTGACGCTCAGTCATAGTCTTGCAAGGAAACTATTTCTTCGCCGTTTTGAACGAAAAAACAACACTAGCACTGGTTACACACCGCTAGACTCGTCAAGATATCTCTTTCAAAAACAGCTCTGAATCGCATTCGCTATGCGGGATTCTCAACAGTATTCTTCATATTGCTTTATTTGGAATGGAGATGTTTTCGTACTTCTCAGGGGATGGAAAATTGTGATGAAGGAGAACGATTTCCAAAGCGCTCTTCATTCGCTCTTATCTTGAATATACGTTTTACTTCTTCTATTTTCCCTTTAATTTAATCATCGAAGTGACATCTGTCAGATAACGATGTGCTACTTCCGAAATTGATAACGGATCGGACAATCTGCAACAGCACATCGCTACTTGGTAAAAATGAAACCAATCTTTGTTCCTACCCAGTAAATATATCCGTTGTCGAGACTTTGAAGCAAGCATGATGCATGAAAGCCTACCGCTTTTATTTTATGCAGTGCTTTAGAAGCTCTCAATGAAAATTTTACGAATCAGCTGTATCCTATCTGTTTCGGTTTCAAGAACTGTGCTGAAATTGGGCTGTTTTTCAAGCACTCAGGTTAATGCTTTACTAGATATGTC